CATGGGCATGTGATATGGGGTTAAGTGATCCAAATGGGATGCCCTGTCCCATCAACAAGGGGATGAATGGGGGGCCATGGGCCCTCCTTGGCTTGTGTTACACCAACATAACCTACCAATTGGAAGCTTAATCTACAGCTTGACGGGTTAGGACATCTAGAGACAGCACGAGCGATATAAAACGTTTTGTAATTGTTACTGTTTCTTGTTTCTCATTTTTAAGAAATGTTTCGAAATTGTGTACTATTTTGGTAAGAGACGAGTATTTTGTTGATAATATGGAATATACAAAAGCTTGCAGGTCTGGATTACAAGAATGTATTTCAATTAGAGATAAGATCATTCAGATTGTAGCTATTGAAAGGGAATTATACCCACCAAGATCTAACACAATAACTCTATAAAACAAAAACATATGAAGGGAAGAGATGTGCAATTGAAGATCCTATTATGTAATTTTTTTTTTTGAAACAACAAAATCAAAGGCTTGTTTGGCCGTAACGTTTCTGTTTATCGTATCTTATTTTTCATTTTCAATTTGTGAGAAACGTAAGCGTTTGGTGAATATTGGTGTTTCTGGTTTCTCATTTTTAAGAAACGTTTCCGAAACTATATAGAAGTTTTAGAAACGACAAGATCAAAGTACTTGTTTGTCGAACATAATTTTTAACTAATAGAATGCATAATAAATTTACAAAATTTTTACTTTTTAAATTTAAAATTTTAGAGAATAAGAAAGAATAAATAGTTACCAAACATGTTTCTTTTTCTATTTCCAATTAAAAAAGAAAAAAAACCAATGACTAAACATAATTATATATTTATTTATTTAGACAAAGAAAATAAGAAATCAAATACAATAACCAAGAAATCAGAACGTTATCAAACAAACCCGAACCACCAAAATGTCATTGTTGATGATCTTAAATATGGGGAGCCCCCACCCCCACCTAGCTAATTTTTCTATCAATCCTCCATCACTTTGGTTATAATCTGTTTTATTCATTTGGACCACCACCATTTAACACCCACTTTAATTCTCTCTTTCTCTCTCATTTTTGTGTCATCCATTTAATATGTATGTCATCCATCATTGTCACCTACATTTTTACACATTCAATTAATTCTCTTATTTACCCCTTCCATTGTGTAGGGGAATTAGGGGGATTTTGTTTTACATATTTATGAACTTTCCAAAGTGTCTATATTACTCTACTTGTGAAATTTGCATTAAAATACCATTTTAGTTTTATGGTTAATTTTTCATTAATGACAATTTAACCGATCATGAGTTTCGCTTAGCGGTGATAGCACCAACAATCGAAGTCGAGCATACGTACGATGATCTTCATGCGTGAATAGTAAGGCAATAGATGATGATGAAAAAGGACGCCGCATCTGGATAGGTGGGCGAAATGGATGAACGAAGGGTGCTATGCCATGAAATGAAGAATATCCCGAGTCTCGATTTGATCAAAATTTTGATTTTACAGATTCAGAATGAGAAACTGTCATCCCATTCAATCGAATTGGGATGCCCCGTATCTGACATGTCACTTGCTTGTGTAAGACAACAAAATGCGCCTCGAGGTTAAAACGCACCGACATATCAAGATCCAAATTCGAATTGGTTCCTGGTCCTGGTCAGAGACCACTGTGTTCGCGCCGGCGGTCCAACAAAGAAGCGAAGTAGTGGTCTCTTTCTTTCCATTACGAACGACACGCTTCGCCTGCTCCCTCCCCGTGTCCACTAGCCCTCCTGTCCAGAGCGAAGAGAAGGCGAAAAAGCATTGTCAGTGTAAATATGATTATCTCGTGAGATTAATTGAAGTTCGCGTATGGGTGGATACTTAAAATAAATCAGTTGAAGGAATTTTTTTTTTACTCTATCACGAAATCAGACACTTGGTCTACTAACATGTAGCTTTGAATACTAGATTGAATAAGCATACGTTTACCAAGTAAAACAATAAAACATGTCTTCGCGTTAAGTTTTTGTTAAAATGTTTTTAATATATTTTTTTTTAAATTTGAAGTTGGTTAAAATAAGATGGCTAAAAGTTTTTAAGAATAAAATGAAAAGCAAAAAAGTTTGAGCCATGTTATCAAAGATTTCACTTATAAACTTGAACATAACTTAAGACGACATATATATTCGAGCAAAGAATCGTAGATTAAAATTCATTTGTCATTCACTTGTGTGAAAATTTGAGAAATTTAAAGAAAACAGTAAAATAAAGAAACACAAGAATTGACGTGGAAAACTCTAAATTAGAAAAAAAAAATCACGACCCACAAGGAAAAAAATCCACTATATGAAAAATTATTACAATCGCATAGATTTCTCCCCCGACCCCAATTACACAAAACACACCCTCAAAATAAGTTCAGTTAATTAGATCTAGTATACTAGACTTAAATTATTTCAATTACGATGATTACAATTCAAGTACATGAGTTCTTTTATAGTAGTTGGAACACAGCTACTCCTTATATATTTTCTACGTGGGACAACTTCTACTACTTGGTGAACATACTCTTTCCTTGTATCTTTCCGATGTGGTACAAACTTCAATTATAATATTTTTGCCAAAATTCAACACTTTTTTTTTTTAAGGAGAAGAAAAGGTACATGTTAAGTATATAAATTTTTGTTTTCTCTAAACAGTAAAATATAAGTACAAACAATCTGAATAAAAAATTAAAGTCAAATAATGAAAGGATGAGGTTACATTAGAAAAGAAAAATCATACCTTCTATCCTTCTTATATTTATATTCTTATTCTCGCCCCCAAAATTTAGGACTTTTAACCCAAAAAAAAAAAAAAGAAGAAGAAGAAGAAGAAGAAAAGGAAAAAAGCCAAGCAAAAAGAAAGTTTCTTCTCTTTTTTTTCCCCTTTAATCTATACATGAGCAAATTGGATAGCTGAACTTTATGCTCTTAGAATGGGATCATGGGGCTTAAATGAAAGTAGAAAGAAATAAATGAATTACAAAAAAAACAAAAAATGTTAAAAAGAAAAACTTTTCATCAAAATAACAATTTAGTTTATGAACTTTTATGAACTTTTGTTTGTGACGAATTAGTTTTTGTACCGTTATATTTTCAAATTAGTAATAATTTAGCCATTAAAATTTAATACGTTATAATTTAGTTCTTGTAGTTTAAAATTTGTAAATACATTTGACCTCTCGTCATTTATACCTCTACTCATATATGTGAAACTCTATTAAATAACAACAAAATTTTTCGCAATAAAAACTAAATCATTCTAAATTAGACATAAAAAAGGAAAAAAGGGATAATGGGTTTAGGAAAGGCAAGGTTTTTATTGGGAGAAAAAGAGAAATTTGGGGGAATGGAAGAGAAAGAGAGTGGTTTTAATGATTTTCACAGAAATGGAGGATTTTGGTTTGTGGGCAATGGCATGGCATGAGTCATGAGAGACAGCTGCTGGACATCAGTCATTTGGTGATTCGGACCCCTTTGGTTCCGTTCCGGGACAAAATACCGATGGAAAATTATTATTCATTTCCAAACCAAAACCCAAAAATTTAAAATAAAATAAAAAGAAAAAAAGAAAAAGAGAAAACTTTGCTTTATAGCTTTGACCCCTCTGCCCTTTTCTCTCCCCTCTTGCTTTCTCTCTCCTTTCCGAGCTCTTTCTACAGTGCTTTTGCTTTCTTCCCCTTTTCCATTGTCAAGCAGCAGCAGCACCAAAAGTGGAAGCCTCTGATTCTCCCCTCCATCCCCTCTAATTTGGTACTCTTTTTGCTCTCTGTTACTCTTGATTTTGCTCTTCAGTTTCTTCTTCTTCTTCTTCTGGTTTTTGCATCTGGGGTTGTGTTTTTTGCTGTCTTGGATCTGTTCCGAGGCTCCACTGGAGAGGCTCAAGGTTTTCTTTTCAAGATCTGGGGTTTCTCTGTTTTGGGTTCTTCTTCTTTTTCTTCAAGCTGTTCTTGGGAAGGGAAGATATGAGTTGGTTCTAGTTTGATTGATTTGAAACTTCCACAGAGACGCTTCTTTTTCTTCTTGTTTATTGGCTAGGGTTCTTGATTAGTGCTCTTCTGTTGCTTTGTCTTTGAATCTTGTGCATCTTTTTGGTTTCTTTTGCTTATTCATTATCAATTGGTAAATTTTCGTCTTCATTTTGCTTTGCAAATGGAGAAAGCTGACATTTTAGGTCTGTTTAGTTGATCTGTAATAGGATTTATCTGAGCTACCATGAGTAATTTTTAGTAGGTTTCATTGTACATATTTCCTAAATCCTTGGAAGCCCTGTTAGATGATGATGATGATGATTTTTTTTCCCTTTTTTTTGTGTGATGATGTTGATTTATGTCATTGGTGATGGATTTTTAAGGTTTGGTTATTGTTTTTTATGAAGTTCAGGACATTATTCTCTGGATGGGAAGACAAAAGACACGAGTAATTGGTCATCAATGAATTGTCTCAAATCCGATTTGTTTTGAAGCTCATTCTTGCCTCTGATGGCGTCGAAAACGGGTTCGAAACCTTCTGCAAAGCAAAATAAGGTGATAGCCGATGTTAAAGCGACCGATGCAAGCGATCTAAGGTCCTTACCTTCACAGGCTTCATTGGAAAACAAACTTGGTTCAGCTCTCTCTGGAGATGTATCAAAAAACTCCATACAGAGATCCTCGAATCGGTCTACCTTGACCGATGTGTCTAGTGCTAAATCTTCGAGTTTGAATCCTAAAGAGTCTATTGAGTCTTGTACTCAGAAAGTGAAAGAAAGTTCCTCAAAGCCTGGCCCGAAGACGATGAAAGAAGGAGATCTTGCTCTTGGTGGGACTCGGGCCGCGGCAGAGGACTCTATAGATCAAGAGAAGAAAACATCAGAATGTGGGAGTGGGAAGGACAGTTCTGTTTCTGCTGCCAAAGTAAGTGATGGGACGAACAGTCTTGCCAAGACCAGTGGAAGTGCAAAAATCAGCGACCGTGTCGAGTTAGTCGAGAGTGGCAAGAGCAGTATGTGTCGAGGAAGCACGAGTAGCGATATCAGTGATGAAAGTACCTGTAGCAGCTTCAGTAGTAGTATCAGTAAGCCTCACAAAGCCAATGACTTGAGATGGGAGGCCATCCAAGCTGTACGTGCGAGGGACGGGTTATTGGGATTAGGCCATTTTAGACTGTTGAAGAGACTGGGTTGCGGGGATATCGGAAGCGTCTACCTGTCGGAGTTGAGTGGCACTAAATGTTATTTCGCAATGAAAGTCATGGACAAAGGGTCTCTAGCAAGTCGGAAGAAGTTGCTTCGCGCTCAGACCGAACGAGAAATATTGCAGTCTCTTGATCATCCATTCCTTCCCACATTGTATACCCATTTCGAAACCGATAAGTTCTCGTGCTTGGTGATGGAGTTCTGCCCCGGAGGAGACTTGCACACTCTAAGGCAGAGACAGCAAGGGAAGCATTTTACCGAACAGGCAGTGAAGTATGTTCACTGCTCTCCAATTTTCTTGAATCTTCTTGTCAATTTTGTTGACTTTCATATGCATCATCATATAATACATTGAGAATGCTAAGAGTAAATTTCAACCTGCAAATGTTTTTGTACTTACATATTTCTTTCCATGCTTAGAAATCATTAAGCTTATGGTATTTTGATGCAGATTTTATGTAGCAGAGGTCCTTCTAGCACTCGAGTATCTTCACATGCTCGGGATCGTATACCGAGACCTTAAGCCTGAAAATGTTCTTGTGAGGGAAGATGGACACATAATGCTTTCGGACTTCGATCTTTCCCTAAGATGTGCTGTTAGTCCGACGTTGGTGAAGGGCTCATGTTCTGAGTCTGAACCCTTGAGAAAGAATCCTGTTTATTGTGTCCAGCCGGCTTGTATCGAACCTTCCTGCATCCAGCCATCTTGTGTAGTTCCCACGACGTGCTTCTCTCCCCGAATCTTTTCTAGCAAGTCGAAGAAGGATAGAAAGCCCAAGACTGAAATAGGAAACCAGGTTACGCCATTGCCAGAGCTCATTGCAGAGCCTACAGAGGCCAGATCAATGTCATTTGTTGGTACACATGAGTATTTGGCACCGGAGATCATAAAGGGTGAAGGTCATGGAAGTGCTGTCGACTGGTGGACTTTCGGAATCTTTTTATACGAACTGTTGTTTGGAAAAACTCCTTTTAAGGGATCTGGGAATCGAGCCACGCTATTTAACGTCGTTGGTCAGCCTTTGCGGTTTCCTGAATCACCAGTTGTAAGTTTTGCTGCTAGGGATCTCATCAGGGGCTTGCTTGTCAAGGAACCACAGCATAGATTAGCTTACAAAAGAGGGGCAACTGAAATCAAGCAACATCCATTTTTTGAAGGTGTCAATTGGGCATTGATACGATGTGCTTCACCACCTGAAGTACCGAAGCCTGTCGAGATCGAGAGGATACCCTCAACAGCACCTCCAGTCAGTGGAAAAGCTGTAATGCCTAGACCTGGTCCTGATTCCAAATCGCCCGATAATTATCTCGAGTTTGATTTCTTTTAGTAATGGTACACATGATGAACGGCGTTCTCAGAAAACAGGTTTGAATCATTCTGCCGAAGTCGAAGTTCAGTTATTGATAGATGGGGTGATGAATTGTACTTGTTTTTGCCTGTCAACAATTTCAATTTTCTCTTTGCATAAGTTATTGTATGTACTTTTTGCCATCTAAAGCTTGAGAATAGTTCACTGGAAACCAAGGGTGTCTGCTAACACAAGGTTAGCAGAAAATAGGAGACATGAAGATGATGGAGTTTAATAGCCAAAACACCTGCACCAAAAGAAACTGTTGTGGCGATATTTTTTCTGCATCCTCTTGATATCGAAATTTTCATTGTCGCTGATGTTCGGAGAGAGGATGTTCGATGATGAAGACGACGACGACTCAATCATTTGGTAGGTAGCTTCCTTTCCTTCACATATGATTTTCACATCACAAAATTCTCCTGCATTCTGCAGTACTTGTCTGGCCAGCGCTCCTCTTTTAGACCTCCATTTTCTTCTAGGTTCCAAATTCACAAATTCAGCAAAGAGAATAATAACATTTATTTGAAGTTTGAACAGTTGGGTTTTGAAACTTATGATTATTTTGCCTTGTTTGGAGAGAGAGAGAAAGAGAGACCTGGTTTTGGTGCTCCCAAGTATCAACTTCCTTATCTGGAAAATGGAAATAAGATCAAGAATTGCCTTGGCCACCATATCACTCTCAATCATCACAGCCTCCACTTTAACCTGTTCAAACTTTGTGAAATTTTGTTGTTAAAACTGGGTCATAAATCAAAAAACTGGAAAATGGAGATGCATTGAACGAAAGTTGAATGTCTACCTCAGCAGCAGAACATGTATCAACAAACTTGCGAAGAAATTCTGTCCTCTTTGCTCTCTCTTCGGCCATGTGCCTCTCCACTAGCCTTGGACTAACTTGGCTCTTCGGAAGCATTCCCACTTGATGATAAACAAAACGGGCAACAATTTTAGTCACCTGAAAGTGATTATTCTCTCCATTTGATAACAAAACAGAGCAAGATCATTCTGCAGATTACTCAAATAGCTTAAAACCAGATTTCTTTCGCATCAAATTCTACTGATTCTCAAGTTCAGGAAGAACCCTAGAAGAAATCTGAGAGAGAGAGAGAGAGAGAGAGAGAAGAGGGCATACGTGGGCTGGGCACGAATCGGATCTCAGGGAAGATGTGCAGAAGATAGACGACAGTGGAGGGCAAAACAGCGAAGTTGAGAGTCCATTTCAAGGCGTCCATACTGGAATCGATGTTATCGCCAATCCCGACGTAAACGCAGTGGTTCGATTTGCGAAAATCGAACGAGAACCAGCTTCCCTCGAACTCGCACTCGCAATCGTCCTCCTGTTTACGATTCGATCGCACCTCAATCCCGAGCTCGATCTCGAACAGCTCGCTCGATCCCCCCTCTTCATTCTCGCTTAAGCTTCGATCGAATTGGAAATTCTCACTCCCGAAGTAGTGCTTCCTCGTCGATCCTTGATCGTCAGAATAAATTCCTCCTCCCATCATGTTCGATTCAAGTTCCGCCTCCACCCAACTTCCTTAATTTCTCAGTTGTTGAGATTCGCATTCCGCAGCCCTAATTATAGAAACAAGAAACAGCGACTATGGAAGGTAGAACAGAAAAGCATGAACAATGACGAGGAAACTGAAATTTCAAATTTGCGTACGATTTTTACAGAATACTTTTTTCATCAAGTCGTCTACTCGATTCTGACGTAAAAGGGTTTGGATTGAACATGAAAGGAGATAATATTATGATCAATAACTTGTTGAATTTGATTTCCTCCATGGGAATTTGGGCGGTTGGTTTTTTATTTTTGACTTTCGTCTTAGGGACTGAGTCAAACCAGAAGGTGTTTGACTCTGCTCTCCTCTGGCGGGCCTGCATGACGCCATCTGGCACCCATTTTTATTTTCCTTTTATATTTTTTCAGATTAAATTTGAATCGAATAACTCATTACAATTTATATTTAATACATCTACGAATTTTCAGTTTTGTGTATATATTAGATTCTTGAGATATATATTTTTAAATATTAAAAGATTTAGTAGATACAAAATTTATAATTATGGAACTTTTATTTAATTTTTTAAAGTTTATAAACCTATTAAATATAATATTGAAAATTAAAAGACTTATAAGATATTTCTTGAACTTTAAATTCTAGACTTATTGTTATTGTTTGTTGAGAATGAGAAATAGTTATATTATTAATTTATATTTAGGTATAATTAATAGTCCGTGACCTACATGAAAATGATAATATGATAATGTAGGTTGATTGTACATTACTCATTGAAATTGAAAAAAAAGATAGGCATTGTTTAAAATTCTAAGAAAAGAAGTAGGATATGAGATTAAAATAAAATTTAAGCTCAAGTAGAATTATTTTGGTCTATATATATGAATTATTTTGGTATATATATATTTTTTGTTCTATTTTGTTGAAAGCTTTTAAAACGTCTATCTTAGTTTTTATTAGCATTGGTATTATTCTAGCATCAATTATTTAATTAATACTTTAACCAATGAAAATGTTGTAAATAGTTTGACAAGTGTCATACATATAATTTCACATAGATATATTAAAATGTTGGCATGGTATTCATTGAGGTAACTTAGGTTAGTTAAAATAGGTATGGAGTAGAGTAAAAATTGATGGTAATAAAAGAATAATGATTATTTGTTCATTCTTTCGAAAAAAAAAATTATTTGTTCATTGTTAGAGATTGAAGCAAACGTTTAAAAAAGGTAAAAAATCAAAATAGAATAAATGCGAGAATTCCTGAGTAAAATGAAATTTAAATTCTTCTTTCTTACTCTTTTTTAATTATTATTTTGATTATTTGTTTTAATAGAAATCTCTCTCTTTGATTATTTATTTTAATAGAAATCTCTCGCCCCATCTCTATTGAAAGAATTCTGGATGTTATTTTCTTCATGGAGCTCATCCTAGATAAATGGGGTACATGAGATAGACGGGGTAGAGAATCCTCGTTTGGGCTCCCTGCAGAGTAGGGGTACGGAACAGCATATTGTATCACCTAAATCGGGACGAGCGTGGTGAATACTTTCTCATCCCCACCCCCATTATATATATATAGAGAGAGAGAGAGAGGGGCTAATGAGTGGATAGAATTAGGCTCGTTCACATCTTTTATAGTTTTTTTTTCCTCTCAGAATTCTCCTATTATATTTTTCCTCATATTTATCCTACTAGGTTCTTCCTTCCCTATATATATGTCCTCGCCTCATTTCTTTTTTGAAATAATTTGTATCATGAATTATGAGACGTTTTTAGAAAATTTAACAATTTCCCTTTTCAAACGAGTACTTCTCATGAAAATTTAACTATTCAAATGAATATTTACTATCGAGAATTAACTTTTAATTTGAAATTTCTTTAAAATAATAAACGATCCATCGGCGCAAAACCCCAACTCCAATCTCCGTAAAATTTCATGGAAATTTTGCAAGAAGAAAAATGATATGGAGCTAGGCAGGGATAGGGACGGGGAAGCCACATCGTTGTCCCCGCCTCACTCCGCCCCGCCCCGATAACACTCTAAGAGTCAGCATTATTCATGATGTGTGTGATGTGTGTGAGAGAGAGAGATTTAAATAATAAGAGTGGAAACATAATATATGGTTAGCATGGTTCATATCGTATATGAAAGGGTTGATAAATGGAATATCCGAATATGTAATTTAGTGGACAATTTTCAACCACAAAAATGTTTTTGAATAATATAATAAAAGTCAATCCAATGATTTCTATTATTCCGACATTAAATGATTTTCAAAACTACAAACTTCCCCTCAATCTTTACAGTTTTTTTTTAGTATTCAATCTTTACAAGGTTAGAACATACTTGGAATATTAGTGTATTTTAATCTTTCAAAATTGTTAACCGGTACGAGTTTACAAAGCTAGAGGTCCTTCTAGGATTCTTGCAAACATTCACAAAAGTGATTAATTTACTAAATAATACCAACCAAAAGTAGGGTTGGAAGGATGAATCACTCTTAGATCATACTTAGAGTCTATGATGGCCACTCCTACATACTAATACGACCCACTCCAGAATTAGCTTGATCGAGACTAATCCAATGAATCGATTTAACATCAAACCTAAAGCAATATTTGAAAGAGACAACATCAAATGTGTTAAGGAACAAAAGTTCTTAATTTCAATATGGATGAATCTTAATAATCTCTATAACAAGAGCATTACAAGTCTTTAAATAGGCCAAAGAGTTTTTCAACAAAGAAATACCAAAAGTCTTTCAAAATGCTAATTAATTCAAATTGAAGAAAATAAGACATGCAATTTAAAACTTAGTTGCACATCGACCTAGAAGCTTAAATGCATCACAAAAAACGTAGAATTGCTTTAAATTGTCTTGGAAATCTAATGTAGGAGTCGTTGCATGTGATGACAACATTTGACAAGCTTTGACTTCAAAAACTTCCCAGAGGCGGTGTAATATGCCAAGGCACCTTGTTCATAATACGGCACACCTTTTTGTCATTCGTGCCCTCTCTCAAAATAGACAACTTTTCTCGTACCATCTATGCCCAATTCTCTTCTTGACTCATTAAAGTAACATTGTAAATAAATTTGGGCTCAAAACTCTTTGTTGGTTCTTGTATATTAGCCAGCTTTTGAAGATGTAGTGTGAAAGCCACTTGAATCTTCTTTGCATTGCTTCCTATAATTGTTCCTTTGTGTACATGTAATTGGTCACGAATGGATTCGTATAAGTGACGAGAGACAACAATATAAGGTAATTTTCTTATCAAGTTCAATCACAGATCTTTATGGATGAGAATCAAAACTATATGTTTATATTTGAGTTTCTATAATCTTCACGATTAACAAGTTGATATCTACTTTGTGGGATGTTTATAGACCCATAATTTTAGTTTTATTTAATATGCCTAATAAACAGGCAACATCAGCCTAGGTTAGGATTTTGCAATATTACTAGCGAGTAGTGTTGATGACAATTAATTATTTTGGTAATAGAAGTGTTACCGGGACTGGGCAGACATTTTCATTGAGAGAGGGATATAAATGTGGTGTGAATGGGTGAATGGGACGAGAGAGACTTGAACTTTGAAAATGTGAAGAAATTGAGACAACGTTGGGATCCCTTAAAAATATTATTTTAGCCTCTGTACTTTCAGTTCCGGTTCATTTTGGTCCATGTATTTTGAAAATATTCATTTTAGTCCTACCATTAAACTGCTCTTAAATAATTAACAGATTGATGATGTGTCATTTCTCCTCAGTTTTTTTTTCAACATAATTTTTTATTCTCCCCTCAGGCTTGCAAACAAATTTTCGGGGATTTCCACGCTCCTCAACGTCGTTTCTCTATCTTCGACTCTGCATCAATTTTGATTTCTTTCGAATCTCCAATTTGTTCAGTTCAGGAAAAAATAATCACCCAGATCTTAAACATTAAACCATCTCATATTTTTGTTCAGTTCTGTTTTCTCCTGGCCGAAGCCACCACATCAATTTGGACTCCTAGATACCGATCCACGAGCAATTGAATGGCTGGAAAGAAAAGGAAGTTCCTGTCGGAGATCACGCGGGAGCACCACTGGACATATCCCTGGAGTTTTAGACCCAAAGTGGTAATCTCCACCATGTGCCCAGGAAATTTCAAAAACACATAGGGAGGCACTGATCCAAGTTTTTCTTTTAATGAAAGTAGAGATTTGAAATAAATCAAATTGTTGTAGAGATGGAAGATAGAGAAACGACGATGGAGAGAGTAGAATTGCAGAAGATGATATTTCGTGAGTCGGGGAGAAGAATGATGCGTTAAAGAAAAAAAAAGTTTTAACAAACCAAACACTGATTCGTTAAATATTTTAAAAATGTAGGGACTAAAATTAATCTTTTAAAAGTAGAATGAACCATTTTAAAAACGTAGGGACTAAAATTAATCTTTTTAACTAGAATGAACCATTTTAAAAACGTAGGGACTAAAATTAATCTTTTAAAAGTAGAGAGACCAAAATAGTATTTTAACCTAAATTTTTTAGAAACAGGTGTTAAATTTCAGTAGACATGTCACACATTTTCATATATCTATGTATTCGATATCGATATGAAAGATGAATCAATATGTTCATAGTATTTATGTTCATGGTATTGTATAAAAGATTGACAAAATATAAAAGAATATCAACAAAATATCATTATATAGTATTAATATTAATAATTCTTAACTAATTAAAAAAGTGTAGAAAGTCTATTTGATCATTTAAATGATTTGTTATGAATTTTAAATTTTATAATTTTTCAAGAAGTATCTATCGACATCTTATCAATATTTGCATCGACATTTTCATAAAATTGAGACATTGACAGTTCTGTCAACGCATTGACATTTAAAATTTTGGTCGTAAAATTGATCGGTTAGTCGAAGAGGTTATTTTTTGCCACTCTAATTGACTAGGATTTTTCGAATTTTTCAAATCTTAATATTCACAGCAAATATTTGTACAACCTTTTCTTGTGTTTGGATGACAATAAAATTATCATTTCTTAGATGCCATGAGACGGCGAAATTGCCTACATTTTTTTGGAGGCAATAAGGTTGATTCGAGAGTTGCTCGATAAAAATCAACATGTGCATAGTTGAGCGGTTAACACATCTTATTCATTCTCCAATTGAATCAATCATCTTCATATTCATGGTGTGTTTGGGAGTGATTTTGACATACTAAAATTACTTTTGTTATTGTCAAAATCACTTCCTTTTCTATGGATCATGTTTGGTAAATTAGAAATTTGATTTTTGAGATATACTTAAATGGTGATTTTGAAAAATCAATTAAACTTAAATCTCTTTTTCAAAATTACTAATTCTACCCTCGCTTCATCTAGAGTA